TTTCATAAGTCACTTTTTTTTGACCTACAATGCTGCAGTGTCAATTGTGTTCAATGAGAATGTATTGAATCCTCATCGGACACTTTTTTAAAGGCAGATTTACCACCCCCTCCATCTACCCCAAACCTTAAAATCCCAGGTGCATACAACTCTCCATGCTGTATCGCATAAATGTTACAGTCATATGTAACACAAATGTCAATTGTGTCAATTATATTTATTTTACGTCATGGTTTTCCAAGGCACTGGTGACATAACCAGTGCCTTCCAGCTGCCCCCTAGAAAAGCCACATCAGCAGTGCCTTCCAATAGCCCCCTGGAAAGGCTACATCCCCAGTGCCTTCCAGCTGCCCCCTAGAAAAGCTACATCATCAGTGCCTTCCAGTAGCCCCCTGGAAAGGCTACATCCCCAGTGCCTTCCAATAGCCCACTGGAAAGGCTAAAATCATCAGTGCCTTTCAGCTGCCTCCTGGGAAGGCTACATCACCAGCGCTTACTAGCTGCCCCCTAGAAAGGCTACATCACCAGCGCTTACTAGCTGCCCCCTAGAAAGGCTACATCACCAGTGCCTTCCAGTTGCCTCCTGGGAAGGGTACACCACCAGAGCTTACATGTGTAAACTGCAAAACTCTCGCAAGATTTGGGGAAAAGTGCCTGAAGCCATGGCACGGACGTCACCGGTGTGCCAGCCCAGTGAACAAGAAGCCAGCCATTGATGACATGTATACGGGTGGAAGCAGCAATGTGAAAAATAGGTACTACAGAGGCATTAACAGTAACAATATTTGTGTTTTTACTTTATTAAATTAAAGGGTTATTAAACCCTCGCATGTTTTTGCATATATATCTATGGCTAGCAGGCAGGAGATATATGCAAAACGATTAAAAAAAAAAAACTTTCAAAGGGGTTAATACTTACCTGTGTCTACTCCGTGCGCTCCCGTCCGAACATCTGAAACTATCTCAGGCGGACGCAAAGGATCCTGGGGCGGACGCATGCGCACTTCAGCCGGGATAAGAGACACAAGGTAAGTCTACGGAGCAGCGTGCACCCGCGCACAGACACCGTGGGACAGCAAGAGAAGAGGAGGACAGAGGAGTCAGCGCTGGATCTGAGACCCGCACCAGCGCTGGAGGGACAGCTGAAAAGGACAGTAAAGAAGATGATCGGATCAAGAGGCACCATTTAATGGAGAACTATGGGGCGGGGTGCTTTCCACTCACCTCATAGTTCTAGCCGACCTGTGACAATGAGACTGTCACAGGTCGGCTCAATAGATTGAGAAGTGAGAGAACACATACCGGCGTTCGCTCACCTCTCGATCCTGTCACGGCTCTCTGCCGTGACAGGGGAGGGGCTGGATTCCCCCCTCCCCGCTCCGATCCTCCAGCGCTGACTGGCGGAACGGACGGGGGAGGGGGCGGGTACAGCTGGCTCTGCCTCTAGATAGGCAGAGCCAGCTGTCAGTCATGCAGCTGGGCGGATCCCGGCACAATTGTCGGGATCCGCTTCAGCTGCGGCGTCTCAGTATACCGCGAGCTACAGCGAGCTGTATACTTAGCTTAGGGTGACGGGAGGCCGCTAGTTTGTGTCCTCCCGTTACCCTAAGGAGAACTACGGGGAAAAGACTTAACCCCATAGTTCTCCTTTAAGGTAAGTCCCTACATTAGTACTGTGTGTGGGGGGGTGGGGACTTTTGCTCTTAATGTCACTTTATTGTTGTTGATTAATTATAGGGCGAAGATTTAGTTTACTTCCTTCCATTTATAAAGACCGTCAATGTGGCATTCGCCGAATCTTTCCAAATTTTAAACATCAGAAAGGTACTCCATAACTGTAAACGCTCGGGGGACCTGCAAATCTCTGTGTATTACACCCCCTCTTCCAAAGGAGGATTGTGGGTAGTCGGAAGCACTTATTTTTCATCATCATATTTCATACTGCGCTTCATATCGTACGAATCCCAGGCAGAGCGGGGGAAAGGAAAAAAAAAACATTTAAATTGCTTCAAACCAATTAACGGAAATCTCCTTGTTTACTATCCGTTATTTAGTTAGCGATTACCGAGCACTCTCCCCTTAGTTTATATAAAAGCGTCAGGAGCCATTTGAAGTAAATGTGAGTGGCTGATGATAAGAGATCGCTGCACAATGCTTCTAATTTCATTCCCATACATAGCAAGATGCCATTTGAAGTCAGCCTTTCATCACTTTATATCCACTCTAATGAAAGCATCGGCAGGCCCTCAGAAGTGTCTGCAGGTACTCTCACATAGCTTGCACAGCATTCTAGGAGCCCTGGAGGAACCTTGAGCACAAAGGAGTTCTTCTTCCCTGATGGCACATCGGGCATACTCCAAGATAGACAATGTCAGGATTCATCGGGCTCAGATTGTGAAGGAGTGGTTCAGGGAGCATGAGACATCAATGTCACACACGGATTGGCCAACACAGAGTCCAGACCTTGACCCAATTGAGAATCTTTGAAGACGTCTGTGAAGGTTCTCATTCATCAAGGTCATGGTACATCTGTAGAAGGTTCTCATTCATCCAGGTCACATGGTATATCTGTAGAAGGTTCTCATTCATCCAGGTCACATGGTATATCTGTAGAAGGTTCTCATTCATCCAGGTCATATGGTATATCTGTAGAAAATAAGTCAAGGCAACTGGACCTGCTGTATTCTTCTTTAAGACGTTTCAATGGTCATCCAACCAGCTTTCTCAATTTGGAACGACTTGTACAAAAATTCTCTGGGAATAAATATGGTGAATGTTGATCCAATCCGCATAATCTGTTAGTCACAACCAGGTGTTGATTGTATTTGCATAATTGGAGTCTAGGAGGTGTTATTAACCTGCCAAGAGAGAGGTGTTAGAACAGCATTGTATGTGGCAGACGATAGATGTCTTCACCATATTTATTCCCAGATTATTTTTGTACAAGTTATTCTGAATTGAGAAAGCCGGCCGGATGACCAGTGAAACGTCTTCAAGAAAAATACAGCGAGTCCAGTTGCCTTGACTTATTTTTTACAGATATTCTAAGATGACAATGCCGGGATTCATTGGGCTCAGATTGTGAAAGAGTGGATCGGGGAGCATGAGACATCATCGTCACACATAACTTGGCCAGCACAGAGTCCAGACCTGAACCCCATTGAGAATCTTTGGGATGTGCTGGAGAAGACTTTATGCAGAGCTCCGACTCTCCCATCATCACTACAAGATCTTGGTGAAAAATGAACGCAACTCTGGACGGAAGTAAATGTTGTGACATTGAATAAGCTTATCGAAACGTGGCCGCGGCGAATGTGTGCCGTAATCAAAGCTAAAGGCGGGCCAATGAAAAAAGTTAGTGTGTGTGACTTTTTTTTGGCCAGGCAGTGTACAAAAATACATATAAATATATCAAAAGCTAGTCAATTGCTACGTCTGCTAATACATCTGTAATGCACCTGTATTCTACCTGGGGACTCTCTCCTCCGCTCTGCAGTTTGTAAGCTTGTATGTTGTATGACAATTGTTCCTGGGTTATGTACATACACTTTGCGAGTATCATACGATTGCGGGATTTCCCGCTACTCTCGCACGATAATCGTACAGTGTATGGGCACCTTCAGAAAGAAAACAAACTCTAAGGGCTTATTCACAGGGGAATCGTTTGGCACGTACAGCTTCGTGCTGTGTGAGCGGCCGTATCGGGCAGCTCCCGGGAAGCACAGGTGATGGGTGTGACTAGTACACAGCCCCTGTCCTTCTCTATGGGACGACATGACCGTACGCCGCCCTACGCTCACCCGTCCTGCACCTCCATGCGGGTGAGCGTACTCGTAACGACAGGATGGATCCTGTCTGCGTCCGAGCCGGGGCACCCGCACCGACCTGCACTTGAGGTGAGTGTAGGGAGGTGTACGGCCGCATACTCACATAGAGAAGGACAGGGGCTGTGTACTAGTCACACTCAGCACCTGTCCTTCCTGGGAGCACGCAGCTGTACGTGTCGGCCATTTCCTGTGTGAATGATGCCCCTGGAATGCATTTAGCTTTTTTAAAGCCGTTGGGCATCAATAATTACATAGTTAGTCAGGTTGAAAAAAGACACATGTCCATCGAGTTACACATGTTACATAGTATTTGAGGTTGAATAAAGACATTAGTCCATCAAGTTCAACCTATTAGGATCTCATTCTAGGAGTACCCGTACCCCTGTATATTACCTGTACCCCTGTATATTACCTGTACCCCTGTATATTACCGTCCCTTAAGAAATCGTCCAAAAGTTCTTGAACAATTCCACATTCTTAGCTGAAATCACCGCCTGTGGCAGTGAGTTCCAGACCCTAACTGATCTTACTAATGACCCCCAAATCCTTCTCCATTTCTGACTTCCCTCCATCCATCGAGTTACACATGTCCATCGAGTTACACACGTCCATCGAGTTACACACGTCCATCGAGTTACACATGTCCATCGAGTTACACACGCCCATCGAGTAACACATGTCCATCGAGTTACACATGTCCATCGAGTTACACACGTCCATCGAGTTACACACGCCCATCGAGTTACACATGTCCATCGAGTTACACACGTCCATCGAGTTACACACGTCCATCGAGTTACACACGTCCATCGAGTTACACATGTCCATCGAGTTACACACGCCCATCGAGTAACACATGTCCATCGAGTTACACATGTCCATCGAGTTACACACGTCCATCGAGTTACACACGCCCATCGAGTTACACATGTCCATCGAGTTACACACGTCCATCGAGTTACACACGTCCATCGAGTTACACACGTCCATCGAGTTACACACGTCCATCGAGTTACACACGCCCATCGAGTTACACATGTCCATCGAGTTACACATGTCCATCGAGTTACACATGAGAATAATGTAATCTGTAATGTATAGTAAGGACTTGTTATTTGTGGCTTTGCATAACATCCATCTTACCAGCTGTGGGTCAACCTCAGCCACGCTCCTCCCATGCACGGCATCCAACAGTTCCTTCAGTTCACTGGAGTTGAGTTTCCCCAGGCGCAGCTTGTCAGAGGAGAGCGGTTCCAGGAGATAGAGGCGTTTCCATAGATTATCCCTGCGGCAGTGGCACTTGGCGAGCTGAACCATCTCCACCAGCTGCCTCTGGGCGGTGCTGACCTCCGTCCCCAGCAGCGGGAAGAGATGCGGGTTATAGAGGTTCGCGTCACCCATCCTGCCCACCTCCCCCTCCCGGGAGTCCTCCTGGTTCTCCACCTCCATTCTCTGGCGCATCCCGAGCTCCGAGGCGCCATCCAAGTCCTGGGCATCCCGTTGAAGCCTCGGCGGTTTTTTGAACCGGCGCATGTCAGCGGTTAGGCGCGGGAACAATTCACGCTGGCTTGTCATGATGACGTAAAACCGGAGCCTGGTGAGAACGGCCGGAAAGGAAAGAGATTTATGGGGGTTACAATAAAAATTGAAATAGCACGCGGACTAAAAGGATTAGATAGATGTAGCTAAAAGCATTTGCTCGATGTATTATTAAGAAAGGTAATAAAACAAGAGAAGACAGATGAATAATTCAATGGAAACTTAAAAGGGAGATTGATGTTTTGTGAATTCATAAGGACTCTAAAATGCCAAAAAATACAGAAAATCAAATAAATCAATAAAATACTTAACCGTGCAGAAATATATCAGCCTTAAAGTGAATCTGCCATTTAAATAAGATATATTAG